ACATGGGGACATCGTGCCATGAGTCCCGGGGCACAGGAAAGGCCTTATTCAAAAGAGTAGTATACTATAGAAGGGGGAGTAATTTCTGGCTAAGTATTTTTTGTAGAATTGCAGAATTTTTGTAGAACTGCATTATATATTGCCCCTCCCCTGTTCTAGATGAAAAATCCATCAGGCTGCAGTCAAAGGCAGATGGAGCCAGAGAGTATAACTAACAAATTGTATAGCATGCATGCTGCCTCCCTCTGGGCCATGTTGCATGAAATTAGTTCCTCATCCCAGTAGTGTAAGGTTTTTATACACATTTATTCAACAGTAGCCACTTGGAGTCCCGGACCACCTATAATGATGCTGGGTTGTGCAAGAAAATACCCTTCATGTTGATGGCTTACTGTTGGTAAAATAGATTAGCCACCAGAGAATACATAAATTGCCTCTGTTTTTACCTATACCTTAATTAAGCTCTTTTCTAGGCCATTACATAGCATTGCATTACTCAGTGAAGATGATTTGTTGCTAGTGTTAAAGGCATAACCTGTGATTTCCAGATAATGGGAGTTGTTAAATTATGGTGTCTTCTTTCAATTGTCTACTGCAATTGAACCTATTCTTAGTACAGGGATTTCTTGATTATTGTTTTGTTTGTTTCATATTATCTTCTGCTTGAGGGCAAACTGGAGGTGAGGGTCCTTCATAAGTAATAAGAGTGTTATAAATATTTTAAGAAGCAAATATAGAATAATGAAAGGCTTGAAGTTTTGTTGTAATGCTCTTTAAATAGATCTTGCTTATCTTCAGCTTAAGCCTCTTGTATCTGTTTCGTTTTCTAATTGCCTGGTGCATTTATTTCTGCACACAAGGGTGGTCAAATTTCTTCACCTGAAATTCCTGTTAACTAGCTACTTTTTCTTTTTCATAATTGACTGTTACTTGTTTTCAGAGGTATTCTTCTTTAGCTTCTGCTTCACAAATCACAAGTCATTTTATGTATTTTGTACCAACCTTTTATTTCTGTTATTTGCAAATACTATTATTTACACACCTAGTTTTGCATTACATTTAGCTGTACATCTAAATGGAGTTTTAGAGTGAATTTTATTTATTTATTTATTTATTTGATCATGTTGTTAGTCTCTGTGACTCATTACAGTTATTCTGCCTCAGCTGATTAATCTGTGAGGGACCAGTTACATATCCCAGAGCTCTTCTGTGGAACAAGTGGAGTTTGAATGCTTCTCTTTTAAAAAGTTGTGTTTTGTGCAGGCAACAAGTTTCTTTCATGTTGATGCTGAAGCCAAATTTTATTTCATTCTGTGGGCAGCTTTTCTGGCAATTTTAAGCATCTTTATAATTTCTTCAGTGTAATTTGTTCCAAATCATGGTGCGTGAATAAGATAGGCAGGTGTATTTCTTGGCAAACCATTACTGTATTTTCCGGCGTATAAGACGACCTTTTAACCCTGGAAAAGGGTCTCCAAAATCGGGGGTCATCTTATACGCTGGGTAGAGGAGGAGGAGGA